GCTCCATACAAGCGCTTCCCGGAACGGTCCACAAAGTTATGAAAAAGCAATATACGGGAAGGTTAGTTTCTCTGTCCCCTACCTCACCCAAAGAGTGTAGTAATGTACTTTTTCTTCACCACAGTAACTAAACCAAAAGACTGCCAACGCAACCCACTAAACCTGGAAAGATTTTGTGACTGCTAAGAATAATAGCTTACTAGCCATGGACTCGTTTTTGTTGTCAATTCACATTGCTGATGACAGCCAAAGATAAAGCTACCCAAGCCTTAAAATGAGGTAAACCTGACACCAGCTGGCCAGCCACACCGGCCTAGGTAGCACTCCTAGTTAGCAAACTCTTTAAACTGACATTGCTGTTTAGTTCCTCTGGGAGTCTGTGCTGTTGTGACTGGACTGGTTTTGGTACGAGCTAATTTAAAGCCGCCTCAGACAGTCCTTCACCTCGCTGTGTCCTCATCAACAAGTGCCGGTTTTGGAATGGAGTAGCATTGAGGTGTTCTGGCCTTCATCTTCTGCTAGAATTGAACTACCATTCTTTTTTTCTTTTTCTTCCTCTTTTTAAACAGAAGTTCTAATCCATGTGGTTTCAGTTAAATGTAAGCTATAGTGTCAAAAAATTAACTACAAGGCACAAAATAGGAAATTAGCATAAACATTTTCAAGTGGATAAAGACTTAATCAAAAAAAGGAAAAAAAAACCCCACCCACCAAACCCCCACAATAACCAGTTGTGCTGAAAGAGGAATTGTCATATAATTAGGTGATCATAAATGGAGCTGATCGAGAATGCTTTTGGAACCATTTGTATACAACATTTTACCTCATGACCTTGACACAGAAAGTAAGCATGCACTAATCGCATCTGCTGATAACCCAAAATTACAACACATTGTTGGTGCTGGGGAATCGGTGTATTACAAGAAGTACTGTGTGACCTGAAGACTGCAGTTCAAAAAATCCAAAGGAACTGAATAGTACAAAGGTCATGCATTTGCTAGTGATAACAAGGACATGTGCAATACATGGGGAATTGATCCACCAAAAAAAAAAAAGAGAAGAGAGAGAAGGAAAACAACCTAAGTTACTACTGAAATGCAAAATGACTACATTTTACAAATAAGACGTAGCTGAAATAAAGCAAATGTCGTTCAGATAACATTTCTAGGAAAGACGAGGACATACTAACGTCATAGTTTAAGGCACTAGGGTAAAATATTACTTATAAAATGCTAGTACCTGGAATAGATTTTATACACCTCCAGCTATGCATTCATTTTTGGACAAGAAGGCAAAACACTGTATGCTTCTGAAAAGATAATACATGCCCAAAACATACTAGCAGCATGACTATTTCAACAGAAAATGAGTTTTTAGACTCAAACATTAGCATGTAAATGTAAACATTTATTTTAAATTTCAGTCTCCTCTGAAACCTACCTTTCAATTTACAAGACTGCCTGTATAAAACTGACCAGGGATCACTGGGTGTACCACTTAATTAAACACTTTGAGAAATAAATTAGCTTTTCCATGAAAGAGAACTGGTAAGAATGTAGAAAACTGGTTCAGGTGTACCTGAAATACATTACTTCCATTTGTCAAAAGTGATTTTGTGCAACAATTAATAGGAATTTAAAATCTTGCAGGGATGGCATCCTTGCAACCAGACATGAGAGCGATTTGCCCCACTACACTATCTCCTCAAATCTTTTTGCTTACCATTGGATCTAGGCTCAGTCAAGACTTAGCAACGGACAGAGTTCACAGCTCATCTTTGTACAGTCGTATGAATCATGGTAGTCATTTTATGTTCTTCTGTAAAACGTAGGCTGAAAGTCTGCACTGAGGCTCAAACTTTGCCTGTAAGCCCCCAAAGACCGTTTCTTCCAAACGGGCATTTCATTCATTTTTAAATAGCAGATCAGTTGTTAGGAAGTTTTGTTTTGTCTATCTGGATGGCAATGGGTTCTGCCTAGATGCGCCCAAGAGACATTAGCCTTCTTAGCTTGAAGAATCCTTTGGAAGATATGCGACTAGGTATCAAGTTTGTGAACGGTGAGGTAGAAGACCTGAACCCAAGCGGAACACAGTGGAGAAAAAAAAACTGGTATAAAAGGGCATAACATCTCCAGATAATGTCCAAGTCCACCCAAGTAACACGCAGGTAAGTGCCTGATCTTAAACACTGGTTGTGTGCTGCTAGAAGCACCCAAGTGTCCTGACAGTTTTTTAACTTAATGAGAAAAGAGAGCGCCTTGTGCACTACAACTAAAATAGACAGCTTCTCTTTTATTCTGTACATCTGCCTCTACACTGACAACTAGTAAATGATCTGTTAATGTTCTACTACAGTAAAATACGTTTAATGTTCTAACTTTTCCCAGCTTTAGAGTAGTTTCTGAGCGGTTGACAAGCCCCTCCATGATAGGGGCTGGTGATCTGCAATAAGTCTCTCTTACAGTAAGTATGCACCAGCCCAAACTAGGCTCCAGAGCTGGAAAGGCCTTCCCCTACACTCACAAGCTATCTGAGAGCTAGCAACACAGCACCTCTGCTGGGGAAAAGAGATTTCCCAGAGAAAAATATAAACCAGTGTATCCTTCACATGAAAGGAGACAGCAAGGTCTATGCCTAAATCCCAAGAGGCTCCCATGAGGCTGCAACAATTGGCAATATTATTGCTCAGGGGATAACAGAAACACGTGTGTCAGGAATGCAGAAAGCAAAATACTATTACGTCGGAAATCCCTTGCTGAATTTGTATGCAGTGCAGGTTTTGGTAATTAGTATTACACAGAAGAAAGTGAAAATAACAAAGCAAGGATGTAATCCATTCAGCTTTTACCAAGAATATATACAGCCCGGAAGGACCTGACTTCAACCCAATTATATAATATATCAAATCTAATAAGGGCACTTGACTGAAGATTTCCCACAGACAGTAGAACATCCAGACGCATGCATTCCTTTTCATTTTTCTTCTCCTTCTACCACCAGCAAAGAGGAGGAAGTTTGTTCTTGTTTTCACTTTATTCTGGTCCTAAATCACCAAAACCAGAGTGCAGAATTGCTTAAGATAAGCTGGGAAGTCGATAATGATCTCACAAGTATTCTACCAGATAAAGTCAACATTAAAAACAACACTAAAGAGGCTATTGATCTTACACAGCCCTCCTATATTTGTCCTACATTAAACTGTATCTGAGTGTTTTCCTCCTTTCTAGTTTCTGCCTTTGATGGAAGAGCAGTGCATGTGATAAACTCGGTATAACCCCACCCGCTGGCTGATCCGGGAATACCAACCGCAGCAACGCAGACCCAGCCAATCCTCCAGGAATTCTTTACCCTTCTAACCTCCGGATTAACCAAAAAGACCACTATCAGCAAAAACTGCTCAATCACTAAGAGAAATGTTAAACTAGTGTATTTCTTACTACAGCCTTTAAAGACTGGGAGTTCCCAACAGAAGTGAGTGAAGATTTGACCAAGATTTGACACATATAAACAGGTATTTAAGGCACAAATACTCTAATATAATAGCCTGTAATAAAACTATTTAAACACAGCCTGCTAGTGCTGAATTCAAGATTCACAATCAAGAAACCTAGTGTCTCTGAAGTGTTTGAGAAATCATAAAGTTACAGAGCTCTTTCGTTATGAAAATAGTTATATAAATTTATATGCACCAAGAAAAATGAAGTGACACGTTAACGTTCATTAGGCTGTAAAGTTCTGTTACCAGAAGACCATACTCGAACCAGTTACCAGCAGCAACAGTGCACGATATCAATAACTAAATGTTTACTATCTGGGAGTCTGAAAAATTGGGAAACAACTGCTCTGATCAATTTTTGTACCTGGCAAGTACTTTTTGCACCATTAATAAGGAAGGTTTGCAAATCAATGATTCAAATTCTTCTGCAAATTAAAGTATGCAGGTATGAACAGGAGTGAATTAATTACATGTTAGAATTCATGGGGGAGATCCTAGTCAGTTAAAGTTTTTCAGGTATAAACTTGAGCTCAAATTCAATGTTGACAGTATCCAATCAAGCCAAGTAATTTCAGACAGGTTTGGCAGGGACCCCAGAAGTTACTAAACTTGTAAGCATTTCCACTGGCACCTCTTGTGTGACTCTGGAATACTCAAAGTAAGTCTTGTCCAGTTTTGGAGAAGATTAAAAAAACTAACTGATCCAGTTTAGGTGTGGAAGTACGAAACCCAGCCTCCCATACTGACTTTCACATCTCGGTCCTAAAAACTGACGTCTATTAGAAGTTCGAAGACTTTTCGTCATTCACTTAACCTGTTCCCAGCAGGGAAAATTCAACTCTTTCACTTTCCCTTAACGTTAAACCTCAATTCTGACAGTTAGACAAAGCATAATTAACAGAACATACATTTTTATTTGACACTTTCCAGCTGTAACAGTACATATGTGTATACACATGCATACTGTCTACTTGTCTGGCAGAAAGATGTATCACTACGGCAATGTAGGCAAGTTCAAGTGGTCTCCCTAACAGCAGAAAGCTGGCTCAGTTTACATTGTTTTTTTTAATGGTGTATCTTATAATTTTGAGTACAAGATATTGTCAGAAAAAATAAAAGGCTTTAAAAGTCATGATTTATAAAGCTGTGTCAGGTATAGTTTAGTACATTAACATCCTAAGAATGTTTGTCTGAAGTGACACATGAGAATAAATCGGTATTAACATGTTTTGGTACATTTTAAAAATGACAACATCTAAAAGCTTTAAGGCATCATTTCTTTTGACTTATCCCATAGTCATTATTTTCAAAACCAGAGCACAGATAATTAAATACTATGGCGACAGACCAAACTGAGATGTCTTATGTATATGAACCTGTGCACAGACCTTTTGAATTGTTCCTTCACTTGCTACTAAAGCTAAATATTCCTTCTGCAAGGTAACCCTGCTAGCACACATGAAAAAAAATTAAGAAGTTGAATATTATTAAATTAAATATCTACCTGAGAGCTTCATGAGGAGCTCAGACGCTGCCTTGACTGACATGTCCTGCCTCATCACATTTGCCTGCGCTTCCTGTGGCTTGAGTTTCTCCTCAGGGACGTTTGGAGCCGAGGCTTCGTCCTGGCTGAACACATAGCTGGACTGAGACAAGGCTGAACTTGCAGCTTCTTCATCCTTAGGCTCCTCTTTCACTTTAAATTTAGGAGTCAAGGGCTCTTTTTGATTTGCAGCTGTCGAGAGAAGGAAAGAAGTGAGACTTAATGACACATGTAATACATAATCATAGAGCAGCTAGTAACACGAAGAAACCATAACCTAAGAAATGCTAGAGCAGTACTGGAAGTAAGCCTGTCAAACAGTATTCAAAGATGCTTCAAGAGGTAAACAACTTTCTGCATCTTTTGTACAATGGGAGTTTTGAAACACACAAACTGCATGTACCAGAGCTCAAGAAACCATCCTTCTCCTCTTACTTCAGAAGGAGCCCCTGCTCCTTCTGAAAGCATTCCCCTGGTCATTGGTTTGCACAGATCTTTTAAAAGCTTAATGGAAGTTTAAAATATCATTTCACATGAGGGCAAATTTGGCAAAGTCCAGGGTTACTACATATTGAGTTCTCAGAGCATGAAAAAGAGGCAAAAGATGAAGAGTAGAAAGATAGGAAACCTAAGAGGGGAGTAAAAGGGAAAAGATAGCAAATTCTTAGGTCCTAAAAGGTGGTATTTGTTAAGAAAGAGAACAGAGGGATTTTCAGAAGACAGCTCTGCACTGGAAGATGCTATTAAGAGCACTGTTCCAGGTTCTACATCCATAAAAAACAAAGACTGCAAGTTTAAAATAATCCTTTCAAATACTCCACGTAAGCAGCTGCACAGCCTCAGAGAAGGGTAGAGACCTTGGGGCTGCTTAAAATTTACACACTGAACAATCTTGTTCTTGAACGCTCTTTCCAATTCCCCTTGACAGCGGTAGATCCTTTGCGCTGCGTTTGGTTGAAGGGATAAAACCAAGAATGCCTCTTAAACAATACTTCCAAACCCAAGCCATATAAATTCATTGGCAGGCTGCATGACAAACAGGAGGCTAAAGAAGTTGCACTGGTTTTCAGCAGCTCTTCTTATAATTCTTTATGTTTGACCAGAAATACTTCCTTCCTTGCCTCTTAGTGGCTTTTTCTTGTTCAAAATTTCACTTTAAATTTCTGGTAACGCACAGCAGATAACTTGTTCAGTGCCCCAAACTTTGATGAGTTTACATCTTTCTCACCCCTCCAAACCTCTGTCTACACAAATATGAAAGATGGAGCATCATCCCCATTTTGTTATCTTTCCAAGCTCTCTCACCATTTACCTCACTATCTCTCCCACCTATTTTCCTCCTTCCACATGACAATCCCCTGCCTACCCTCATCACTCTTGCAGATGAGCTCTGTCAAATCTCACTCGGACCACGTGAGGAGGAGGTACCCACCACACCTTCCACAGGCTGCAGCAGGGCATTAGAAGCCAACACGCATTGCCTGTTGCAGAGAGCTGTTTGTTGTACAATCCCATTACAGGAACTGGAAAAGCCGAGGAACTGGCACACCACAGGGATGGTAATATCCAACTGAAGGGGCAGGGCACTAACAGGTCAAATCAACCCAAAAAATCTGGCAACATTCGCCTGCTTAAGCCCTTGGTCTACTCTCTCCTCCGCTTCACTGCTTCTTACCTACTCTCCAGCTCCTCATTTTCCTGGCTTATTTCCTCGGATACTCTCTTTCTCAGGAGTTCCCCCAAAATCTGACTCCTAGAGAATCTGAATTCCTGCATCCCACTGTGAAGTGTTCACCATCTCCCAGAGACCTCAACCCTAAAATACAAGGTACAATTGCCATCTTTATTGCAAACAGACACTTCCATTTGTTACTTTGAGCTTTGGTCATTTTCAGAGAGTCTACTGTTCTGTGGTTTTCTTTGTGTTTGTTTTTTCAAATTTTTTTTTATAAGCTAATACATTACCCTGTAACACAACACTTCCATCTTCTCAGTTTATATTGCAGGATTGTTTGATTTTTCTCCTTTCTTATGGGTTGGCAAGCCATTACCAAAGAACAAGATTAAGGTAAGTGGTATAAACAGCGTACACATAAGCAGCATGTACATACACATTAGTACTATTCACTACTTCAGAAATTAAATGACCTTATATGTGTAATATTTAATATGACCTATACGCATTTTTCCCAGTATTAGGAATTGCTTTTTCCTTTTTTTTAAACAAAGGGCAAAAGCAGAAATATGAAACATTAAAGCACGGTTTAATCCATCAAAATACAGGTTAAGGCTCTCAAACCAATCTTAACTTTACCAAGGTACTTACAAAACAAAAAAATAAAATCCACGTATCTTTTTTATCCAGGCCTACATCTTTCTATCTCAGTTTATTCTGGGGTTTGAACTGGGGTGATGAATGGTCACCAAAAAAAAAAAAGAAAAGACCCAAACCTTCTATGCCACACTACCTTCTGCATGCCTTCTCTTTTAAAACATGCCACTCTAGCTGCTACTGATATGAAAAATACCTCCACCAGGAGCTGATTGCAAATGATAGAGAGCATTCTGCCTGAACTTTCAGAGAACCTGGAGAAAAAAAAAATATTCTAATTTATTAATTTCAAGAATGTATTCATATAAATTTTCCCAGAAAATAAAGCAAACACGAGTCTGAGTGAAGAGGTAAAGATGACGCACTGAGAACAATGATTAACCTGTGAAGCAAGCTATGTTTCTGCCCATGAACCAGGGCAGAAAATGAAGCAGGTAGAGGAAGCACTATAGACCAGGTCACCATACACTTTTACCATTTAAAATACAGAGGTGATATTAAACTCATATATAGATCAGTGTAAGTTTGCAACAATACACCGTGGTCCATTATAAGCCAGGTTAAGAACAATGTTAAAACATCCATACACAAATAGAATCACTGTAACAGAATTCATATAATATCACAGCCTTAAACTAGGAACTTTTTTCAGAGTCAGATGCTATAGTATGCAGTGGCAGATGCCTTATGGATTCCCCTGCCACATGAAAGAGCATAAAAGGGGGCACTTTTGGAAGAAATTCGCATTTATTAAACCCTCTTATCACCAAGCCAAAACTCAGCAGCCAACTTGACCCAATCCAAGGGCAGGTATCAAGTGGTACCTCTGTGCTCTTCATCTCAGGGTATTCTCAAACTCTACCAAGATGAAGCCAAGTTCTGAGAGCGCAGAGAACCAAAAATTCAAGGTAGGTCACATCAGAGTTTAGTTTCATGATAGGGACACGTGCAGAATGGCTTGAACAGGGCATCCATCAAGTTTCCCTCCTTTCCTATGTCTCACTTTCCCCTTCCCTCCTTACCCCACACATCAGCTCTTCTACGGTCACAGCCCATGCTGCTATAAGCCACTGCTCCCTCACGCTTCGGAGCCACCAGCCGGGATAACAATGCTAAAACTATGTTGACAAGAGATCTACCAGCACAACATCAGCCATAATCTAAAAGAGCTCTTCGTGAGATCTGTATACTTAATTTGTCCCTGTGGGTCTACAAGACATCGCCTATGAGAAATATAAAACACGGTCAGGGGCCCACAATCCAGAGCAAGTCCCGAAGACATGTGTTTGGCAGTATTACGGGAAGGGGAAAAGAAACCCAGACTATTGCTTTTACCTATGTCGCTGGTTCTGCCTACTCTAGCTGCTTTGCTTTGGACAGAAGATAGAATAAACTAGGAAAGAAGTAGGGTTTTGTTTCTTTAGTTAACTGATAGCATATTCCTTGAACTGACCACACTTTCCAAAAATCAAGCATTTTACTTGTAGACAAATGACAAAAATAGAACAGTTATTTACATCATTTTTCCTCCTCCAGAAAACAAAGCCAAGTAAAATCAGACAACTATTGGGTCGGTTTCAACCCAACTGCTTCAATTAATGACGCTTTTGCTTCAATTAATAGGACTTCTAATCTTTCTTGAGATATACTAAAGCAGATTCCCATGTAAATGAAGCCTAAATAGAAGGACAAATAAAAAAATGGGGAGGTTGTCCAGCCAAAAAACTCCATATATTAAAACTAGAGGGGAAAAACCCCCACCCAAACCCAAAAAACAACCCCCCAAACCAACAAAAATCCTTGCCACTCTTGCCTCTGTCCCATCTTGGATCCACAGTTATGGGCAAAATTACTAACACATGGGAAACAGCAACTATGATGCATCCACGAGTCATACTAGGGAGGACAATAAACAGATGTAAGAAAACATTGCAAATAAGGGACATAAAAGTTGACTGAGACCAGTTTTTAAAAAACCCTGATTGAGGAATCTTTTAAAAATTAGAACTAGACAAGGATTAAAAAGATGATGTCAAAGTCTATTAAAGTATATTCGAACGACAAAATTATTACTCCCCAGAAGGTATAACATCTTCTATCTACATACAAAAATAGATACACATACATATACTTAATTTGTATTTAATTTGCATGAATTCTGAACTGCAACGAGAACAGACTGAAGGATGTGTTGCCTGCAGACTGAATCCAAAAAACCCAGCAATTTAATTTTGAAATACACAGCAAGGAAAAAAAACAACTCACCCAGCAAATGCAACCAACAAGCAGCAGTCTCTCAAGCAGGGTTAATAATTCTCTATTTGTTCCGTTCCATATTCAGAAAAAAAAGAGATCGACGAAGATTCGATTTTTATCTTCCTGGCAACTGGAATCATTTGATCCATTTGGCAAAAATAATGATGAAAGTTATAACACTTTTCTCAAACTGCCAAATGCCACAAGAAAAGATTTGGGCATCTGCCACTAATCTGAAACACTCTGATAGAAGCTGCTAACTGCATCAGTCCACTTACAAGGATTTCTAAATGCTCAAAATGTTTGCAAGTGAAAGACGAAAAACGGCCTGATTACTTCAAGACAAGCTCAATGTTAGAAGTCACAATCAGCAAGGAGTTGGTCATCGTTCTATCTGTCCGAGCAAAGAACATGAGAAAGAAAAAAGACTCCGCAACAAAAACGCTGCCACAAAAGAGGCCTTGAGAAAAAGCATCTGCAGAGTCTGGGTCGAACGGAACTGCGATGAAAACACCACAGTACGCCGCTGCACCATCATATTATTTTGCAAGTGATGCCTGACTAGAGCTACAAAGATAAGAGATAGCAGGCCAGCCATGGCCGA